AATCTTTCTGAAAGTGGCCAATCTTTTTGCAAAAATTTCACCGGTCATCTTTCTTTGCCTTTTTCTACTCATGAGTTTGGTTTGAGCTATTCATTTGAGATGATGCTCTTTTGCGGCTTTCTTGATGCTTGTTTCCAACTTTAGATCCAGCTTCTTGAACATAATGAGCAACTTTAATGCCTTCTCGACCAAGTCTAGCCTCCTCTTGTACCAATTTATTAGCCAATTCATTTGATNTCCATCTTTCATCAATNNCANTNTAATTGATTTGGAATGGTCCATACTGAGGGGGCAGAGAATTTAGGATAAACTGGACAAGAAATGAATCGTCCACANTCATTCCTAAATTCTTNAACTTAGCCNCAAGGTTGATCATTTCAATGCAATGTTCATGCATAGANCTTGTGCCATCATATTTCATGGTTGTAAGATCTGTCATAAGTTTTCCAGCAAGGGATTTGTCTGCAGTCTTAAACCGTTCTTCTATTGCTGCTAGATAAGCTTTAGCTTTATCTACAGTTGGAAGAGAAGATTTGATGTTGCTAGCTATTTTCATCCTAAAGAACATAATGCTCAATCTGTTCGCCTTTTCCCAAGCTTTATAGAAAAGATATTCCTCCTCAGTACTGGCATCAGTTACTGGATTCGGTTCCTCTTCACGAAGAGCCAAATCCAATTCTAGTACTCCTAATGTGAACTCAACCTTCTCTTTCCATTATGAGAAATTGGTTCCCGTGAGCATTGGAACAGTTGAGACCATAAATGACAAATTAGCAGGACACGTTGCTGCAATTTTTAGAGATACGACAAGTTTTTAATTAGGCTTCTAAACATTTACAACACATACATAATTTCTGTTAATGAATTTATATGACAAGAAATTATGGTGCTCCTGTGGGTAGTCACCATAATCCNATCAAAATCATATAATTCAGGATCTATTATTGAGCGATGTATTGAATTATTTAGACAAAGTTATTTGTGGATATTCTTTGTCTACACATATACAAAACTCCATTAATAATTTGATCATATTTATGTTTATAATCTACCTGAGGGTAACTAATTAATACATAAATATATTAAATTTGTAAACCATTATAGAGTAAACTCACTGTGGTGATTTACAAACTTTTTATTTGCACTTTATACGAATATACTATGTTATACGCCAATTATGCGTAGAATAAGTATAAACCGATTTTTTTTTCTCAAATTTTAATGAAAAATCTCCATTTACATACCAATATTATATGTCCAAAAATTACATGCATGCATAAATTTATACAAGATTCATAATTGTAAATCTCTCTAATCAAAATATTTCATATATGCATGTTTGAAATAAAACAGAAATTTAGATCTTGAAAAATCCTTTATATTAAGATCGTTAAATTTTAAAATTCAAATCATAAATCTATTATACTTAATGAACTAATCAAATGCTTAGAACCATGCTCTGATACCACATGTTAAATAAAATCAACATGCATGTAATATTTAAGTACATGCATGTAAATAAATCTACATGAACCCTAAGATTTTTAAGCATCTAAATTAATTACATAATAGAATTAGGAGAGTTAAAGGAGTACCTCCATTAAATCATGATGAGGAAGTATTCCTTATATGGTTGATTTGATTAGAAGATGAAGTCTTGCTCTTTGATTAGGACTTAAGTTTTCTCTCCCTTTCCTACAAACTTATCTCTTATGTGTTGTGTAATTTTGTTCTCACTTTGATCACACCTTTATAATGGGCTAAAGATAAGTATTTATAGGAGGAGAGATGACCTAGTTCCTCATTAGGGTTTTGATCTCAACCATCCATCATGGTTAGAGATTAAAACTTGTATGACAAGTGTTAAGTATGTCTCTAATACATGTCATGGAATTAGCCATGAATGTCACACATTTGTCTTTTATACTTTAGTTAGAGATTAAAACACGTAAGACAAGTGTTAAGTATGGCTCTAAATACATGTCATGAATTAGCTATTAGTGTTGCCATATGTCTCTAATACTTTACACTTGTCTCTCTAATGTTTTTCTTAATTANGAAATTAAAACTTCTTAATAATTAGTTACCAAATGTTATTAAGGAATAACGCTTTTATTAGAGAAATATATGAGCTATATATAAGACCATATCATTGGGAAAATATCATTTTCCTTACATAGAGAAGAAGTTTCACATCCATCCACTTGTGTGCAAAGTATTCAAAGCTGAGGATGATTCTTTAGAATACTGTGGCGTTTGTGAGACAATGGTACAAGTAGGACATCATGCTTATTCCTGCAAAGAATGTGATTTCCTTGGCCACATTGAATGCATTTTGCGAAAGGTAATATAATATGTCACTAATTAATAGCTAGAACTCTGTTTATTATTGTTCATAAAAATTGTTATGAAGAAGGTGACGAGTTACTCTTACATGTAACTACTTAATCAGGAAGCACCTTCACCAATGTACCTAAAAGCTCTCTATTCATGTGGCAAAGACGTCGCAAAAGGAACAAATCAAGAAGTATGTGTAACCAACAAAGTGGAAAGCAAAATCATGGTATGGCTTTATAATAATCGGCACATTGAAAGAAGAAGTTTTTCTTTCTTTAGGCCAACCTTTCTTTAATCGTGTTAGATTATATGTTGCAGGTTAATGATATTGGGTATATTCATGTATTGAGCCCGCGACACATGGACAATCAAGAATGCACAATTTGTCATGATAGAATATTTGCTACTCCATGGAAATGCGAGGCATGTAAGTTCCAAGCACACGAAAACTGTGCGAAGCTGGCGCAACCATCAAGGCATCGACTTCATTCGGACCATGATTTGACACTCTTGCCAAGTTAACCTCCAAGGTTTACTATGAATTGCAACACCTGCGAAGAGAAAATACGTGATTTCAATCTCGTCTGTCGTATATGCAATCCAATCACTTGTATGAGGTGCGTGATAAGATTTAATCAGTTTCTTGGGGTCTTACGTAGAGGACAGAAAGTCATTGGAGTCACGAAAGAATCTTGCACTAAACATGTGTAGGACCGAAATTGGCACACTACGAAATTGGAGATGAATTGCGATAAGAAATACGTTAAGGAAAGAG